TTTCGAGCTTCCTGGAATTTTCATGATCACATAAAATAAACGTAGTGGTGCAAGTTCAACAGCATGTATTTCTTGGCAAACGTTCGGTTAATATTGTAGTATTGCACCTTCTATCCCATTAATACTTCGGCCAGTGACGGCTGGTGCCCCAACAGGCTAGAGGATGCACCTCTATAGAATAATGAAAATGTAATTTGAAAATTCAGAACACTGTCAAAATATTAGCAACTCACATAAATAAATTCAATAAAAGTCTATATTGAAACAAAACTTACATAATTTTATGCGTATCCGTGTCGGGTATATACACCTTCCGCGCTCGTGGTTCTGACTTTCCACTGAGCACTTAAGTTTTTATTAGTTCTGCATTGAGGAAATTGACAGTAATAGAAGTCATACAAAACAGAAAATGAACTTTGTTTTGAAAATATGGTGTTCGCACTTCAGCATTTTGCAACGAGTACTATTACTTTGACACGTTTTCCACAAAATTATTTTATTTCGAAAATTTGACTGCCCTCAAGATATTACACACGCACACAAAATCGCTAGCATATTGTAAGTCGGCCGAAAGTACGCACCCACCGTGAGAGACAGGAAGGAACTTCCTTCCAGAAGGACCAACTTTACACAACAGACTCTTGATCAAATGTGCATTCAATAAACGTGAATTTCATAAACTTAAATGAAGCTAGTGTCAGACAAAGATAGAAAATTGGGATTCCCCTCGGGTTTCAGCGCAGCGATCGGCGACCAAACCCCCTACTCATTGATTGCTGCATCGAAGGCCCAGCGTTGAAGCTTAGGGCCAAAGAGTAAATGCAGTACGGGCCGGTTTCACCAACAGAGGAGTAAAGTTGAGAGTAGTTCCCCGAGAGTAAGCATTTACTCTAAGATAGTAACTCTCGAGTACAATATAAGCGTTTCACCACACTTTTACAGGGTTGTTTTACTCTAGAATACATACTCTCCGATACACTCCACGAATCAGCTGAACGCGCAATATTTGAGAGCGATTCAAGGGGCTGTGAGCGAGAGGCGCTAGGGACCACTGCGGACCAACGCGAACCTTTGGTTAATTCCTTATATTCTATCATTCATTTCAGTTTCGGAGTTCTTGGCATTATTATCTTGTGCGTTGTTATCGTGATTTGATTTGACATTGTTTATTTCTAGTTTTTGTATCTTGAATTGGAAGGGCTTCGCCTTCGCAAGCGCTTCGACGTGAAAAATCCATTTTGGCGAAAATCCTATATACTGGTTAGGCTCACGTCATATTCGCCCAAAGACATTACAAAAATCCCTTTCGATACCTGAGATCCTCAAACCGCGTCGGGGGATGATAGCCAAAATCTACTGCGCATTTGCCTTTGCAGGTAGTTTTCATTACAAGGGATCGAGTATCTTCTTACCAAATCTTGCCTGAAAGTGACGTTGCTACCTGTATCATCAATCAACTTCATATTGTGGCGTCGTCGGGTGCGAGTAACACACAGACACGGAGTTGTTTATACAATTTTATTACACTAATACACACTCCCGGGAACGCCGTCACTCCCAGCACTAACATCTCTGAGCATCGCCGCCCCAGCCCCGACGCAAACCCCAGCGCTTGGCGCGCTCCTTCTTTGTCCCTGGCAACCGCCACCACCTCGCTGCCCGAAGCCCGATAACCGCCTGACGTGAAAGCTCCGCACCGCGATTCGGTTCAAACTCGAATGAATGACCACACGGCTGGTTACTCTCCAGCCGCCTCGCGAGGGGTCAAGTGACAGCCCTCCCATGCCGGCGGCGTCCTCTCATCTCGAAACGTGGGTCTGTTTGCAATTTTGGAGTCCAGCTGCACCGCGGCTGGACTCACCCATGTTTTCCGTCTGCGCCAGTTGACACCCGCGTTCCGAGACACGCCCACCCGGGCCCTTGAGGAGGGGCCCGCCTCTGGTGGCCTTCCGCTTGCCGCCAAAGGACTGTCCCCGCCCCCTCGCTGGCCTTCCGACATGTGTTGTCCATCTGGCCCCTTGGCACGACGTTACAGTATGTGTAGAAACTGGGGATCCCAGAGCTCACGAAATCCTGAACAGACGACTGCACTGCTCTCTGTAGCGGGAGAAACAGTTTTTAACTT